GGCATTTTTCATTCTTTTACTGTCGCTTCCAACTAGTGACGGAGTCTTGTTCGCGAGGCAGAGTGGCGTTCAACGGTCCCTTGAAGGTTTTATCAAAAGGGACGAGAACGAGGGTTGATTCTAGAGACTAGCGGAAAGAATATCCATGCAAATCGCATCTAAATTCCCTTCAACCCCTTTAGAAGGCTTTTACAATCGGGCTGCTAACATTTCGTCCGTTCCGGGACATTGCTCTGGCTCTGGGTGTTCGGCACAACAAATAGGCTACGTTCAGATCACCAGTAGATAGACCACGTTCCAGGAGGCAATTATCTAACCAATGGAGATAATCGGCGATTGACGGCGGAAAGTATGCGGAACATTGTTGATCCGCTATCTTCTTGTGGAAACACTTCGAGCAAGAAAAATAGACGGATAGTGTCTGATGAACTCATCAATTTTCTGAAGTAAGCGATAAAGAAAGGCGACTTCAATCAGTCTGGTTGACTGCTCGTTAAGGCAGTCAGATATGCTGTCATCGTCGCACCTGAAACCCTCAGCCCCTTCAGCGACGCTCCTCCGATTTTTACGCTCTCAATCCGATTTTCTCAGCGTCAACTCATCAACATGCGCACGTTCTCCCCGAAGTAAGCCATACATATATCGGGCCCTTACCTGCAATGCATCCTCAAGAGATTCGTCGACCTGGAGTCGCGCTGCTTCTTCACCACGTCAAACGGCTTGGCAGACCAGCCTAGTCAGAACCCCTACCCTCACAGCAAGAAGTCACAGCAATTCACGGCCCCGAATCTGGCTCTGTACTGGCCAAGCTGAACGCTCGTCCTCAATTTTTCCCTTCTCAAACGCACCGTACTCGCGATCCGTTTCCACCAAGAGCCGTCCACTCCTACGCAGACTTCTTGATCTGAGGCGTGGCAAGACCTCAGCGGATAAGCACAACCGCGGCGGCGGGCCCGCGCTGATTGACGATGGAACAGAGGGTGGCTTCAATATCGGCCGGGGCCTAGCAGCGAAAGCAACGAACGAGCCACGGCTACGGTGTACGGAGTTTGACAAGAACGGGGACGTCACTCTTGTGAATGGCGAGTTTAAGAAAAGCGAGTTGATCGCAAAGGTGCGTTTCTTATCTGCATAACTCTCTGTGTCGAATATAAAAGTTAATTATCGATTGAAGTATGGGCTTCTTCCTAGAGATCTTCGCAAGATCGACTCCTCGACTTTGCCGCACATCCTTGTCCGACCGAGCGCGATCCTCATCAACCTGCTCCATCTTCGCGTTCTGATCAAGCATGATCGGGTCCTTGTGTTTGATGCGTATGGATCGACTGATTCGTATATGCAGTCTTTATTTGTATATGACTTGGAGGGGAAGCTACGGCAGAAACAGACACAGGGCTTCGGTGCCCTACCATACGAATTCCGCGCCTTGGAAGCGGTGTTGATCAGCGTTACCGCCGGTCTGGAGGAAGAATTCAATGGTGTGAGGGAGCCGGTCGTTCGTGTGCTTCGCGCTTTGGAAGAAGATATCGACCGGGATAAATTGCGTCATCTCCTGATTTACTCCAAGAAACTCGGTACCTTTGAGCAGAAAGCTCGTTTGGTGCGAGATGCCATTGACGACCTCCTTGAAGCGGACGATGACCTGGCTGCAATGTATTTGACCGAGCGTGCAAATGACGTTCAGCGGGAGGAAGATGATCACCAAGAGGTGGAGATGCTTTTGGAATCCTATCACAAAGTCTGCGATGAGATCGTCCAGGCCAGCGGCAACCTGGTGACAAGCATTCGCAATACCGAGGAAGTGTAAGTCTTCTTTTCCGCCCTCTTACTGGTCTAGTCCCGCAGTTGCTGATTCCTGCAGTGTGAAAGCCATCCTTGACGCAAACCGTAACTCTCTCATGTTACTCGACCTCAAATTCAGTATTGGAACCCTGGGCCTCGCGACGGGCACTCTCTTCTCCGCGCTCTACGGCATGAACTTGAAGAACTTCATCGAAGAGTCTGATCTCGGATTTGGTGCTGTCTCTGTGACATGCTTTGTGATCACCGCGATCGTTTGTGTCTACGGACTAGCGAAGCTACGCAAGCTCCAGCGCGTTCGTATGTGGGGAGAAGCCGGTGTAGGCGGCGCACCCCTCACACCTCTCACGGCCAGAAATGGTGTCCTCTCCGGCCATCGGTCAAATTGGCGGGCGGACTCTATTGAACCGGTCTGGGGCAGTCTTCCCGGCGAAGCTCGGACAGAAAGAATCAAACGTCTTCGGGACATCGCGGCTGCAGCCGCTGCCAGGTCTGCAAGTGCCGACGCAACAGCCCAGAAAGCATCTGCCCTGCGAAACTCGGCAAATGTGAATAGCGGAGCGCCAAAGCGCTCCGAGCATTATCCCACGCGCGAGGCTGAGGCCAGTGGCAGTTCCGCTTAGATCGCCAGTTGTGCCACTGCCGTTGATATGCTCCTTTGTTTTGGACGTCATCCGTCCGTTTTCTGCTATTCGAGGAGTATATTCGTCTCCTTTCTCAATTATGACCCGCCATCTTACTCCAAGCGCTTGTGTATAGTTCACCTCCCGGCTCATTTGAAGCTTGTATCTGCGATGTTTTAGAGAGTCCGCTCATGTTCATGATTCATCATTGTGTTAATAGACTAGATAGATAGATGGAGCGCCACCGAAGCACTCATGTATTTATATTTTCCTCAGGCTCTTCCACTTCAATCACACGGTATGCATAAGTTACAATTCATCATTCTTGTTGGTAGCACGCAACCGCAACATAGCCACACCATGCGGCCGGACATGAGCCGTGACCGTGCCACTAGGCTGCACCGACCCAACCTTCGACCCCATCAATATCTTCGAATTCGAAGGCAGAGGCTGCGAATAAACCTTTTGCGCCCCACCCATAGCAGTCAAGTTATACGGGGATGGCCCAGAATACGTCCCATTAATGATGGCCGCCGCATCCTGATTGCTCATGCGGTTCGCCCACAGATCATAAACATCCCAGTGCTGATTGACCTGTTTCGCCGTTCCCTTGGGCCCGTTCTCCCAGAAGATATCGACGAGCGTGGCGTTCATGTCGCGAGCCTTGGACCCCGCGTTCAGCAGCAGCACCAGCTGGTCGCCGCCGCTCAGCGCACCAGAGTACATCTGGATCTCGCCCTTGCCGTTCTCGTCGACGTCGTCGACGAAGTAGCGCCACTGGCGGACGGGGGTGGAGGCCGTGGGGTCCTGCGAGACGGCGAGGACGGCGGGGTTCTGGAGGATGGAGAGGGTCTGGGGGTCGATTTTGGTCATGACGTTTGTCATGAGGAGGGGGGATTTGAGGGCTGCCCAGAGGCTCATGTGGGCGATTGATTCGTCGTCGGTGAGGCCGCCGTTTCCGACCTCTGCGGCGCATCAGCTTGATTCTGTTCTTGGTATGGTGTACTGGGATGTGTAACTTACGGAGCATGTCGAGGTCGTTCCAAGCGCCTGGGATCGCCTTGGACGGGTAGTAGACGGCCTTATTGAGCACATTCATGATGGAGCATTTGTACCCGGGGGTCTTGCAGTCCAGACCCTCCTGTTCGGAACAGGGGCAGTTGACGTCGTCGCGATCCCAGACGTTGTTCAGATCGCCTGTCGTGCGCCAGGAGTTGGCGATGGTTGGGGCGAAGTTCCAGGGTCCGTCGACGCCCCAGTTGCACAGGGAATAAAGAATCGGGCGGCCGGTTGCATTGAGGGCCTTGAACATGGCGTTGTAGCGGTCAAAGGATAGTTTGGGGGTTCCTTCTTCGCCTTCGTTGTAGCAGTTGTCGTATTTGAGGTAGTCGATCTGGAGGGTAGGGTTGCTATTGTCAGTCTTGGACCATGTCAGGGGAAGAATCGAGACATACACCCCAGCTCGCCCAGAGGGCAGCATCCTTTTCCTCGTGACCGAGTGAGCCCTCATACCGAGCGCAGGTCCATTTCCCGGCGCTGGAGTAGATACCGATTTTCAGGCCCAACTCATGGATTTTGTCAGCGAGATGGGCGATTCCATTCGGGAACTTCGCGGAGTCGGCGATGAGGTAGCCAGACGAGTTCCGGCCGGCCGACCAGCAGTCGTCCATGACCACATATTCGTATCCTAGGTCTCTGAAGCCAAGAGAGACAATTCTCTCAGCGGCGTTGAGAATGACTGTTTCATTGAGTTCGCAGGCGAACGAATTCCAGGTGTTCTGTATAGGAACAAAGGTAAGCCATCTATATCTGCATGCCTTATGCAAGCGCAGAGAACCCATTGACTTACCCATCCCATCTGCGGTGTCTGAGCCAAGCCATTGTTCAATGAAGAGGCCTTGAGGCCGAAGAGCGCCGCGGAGAGCAGCAGCGAAGAGAGCGCCATTGCGCAGTGACGAAAGTACTTTCAGGAAGACAATTATTCTCCGTCACACCTTGAAGTAATGGGCAAATGCAGATATGCTTCCATCATTGCCCTTCAATATCAGGGGTTTTATAACCCGGCATATGCATCTCCGGTTCCCCCGCATGGAAGGGGAAAGCATTGGCCAGAAAGGCATTTCTCCGTGTCTGCAGCCTACTTGCGCCATAGACTTTTCTCGAACTGGAGAAGCGGGACAATACCCAGAGATAAACGTGCTTAGGACTGTGCATGGAGCGGCTGGTATCCCTGGCAGACCATGGATATGACATCAAAAGAAGGAGAAACCTCGGAGATATTGTGAATTGTTCTTGGATATTCCCCGCATTTCCCATCGGAATCTCATTCCCGCGGGTCTTGGATTGTAAGGAGATGTCGATCACTCCCACGCTTATATACTGACCATGAACGAAAACTAACTGCGGTGAGTGATATTATCGGGTGGAGTTGGGAATGGTCGATGCGTCTTTCCTGGGTCCTCCCACGCCATGGCTTAAAGCTTCCACAAAGTTACAGTACGACTTCGAGCTTAAACATGAGAGTCAAGGAATGGCTCTCTTTTGCAAGGTATCTTGGATTTCATCGCAATCTCATCATCAATGAGCAGGCTGATTTCCCTTTCCTTGTCCTTTGTGGAGTCCCTTGGCTCGTTCAATCCATATCTTCGCTGCCACATCGACTCCTCCTTCTCGAACACACTCACGCTGGACAACCGCCGCGACCCTTTCTAGGACCTGCTCGGCGCCAGCAGCACCGTCAGTATCGTGATTACTACATTTGACTGCCTGTGAGGCCTTTGCGGAACGGACCCTCGAGGTCCACTCCTGCGTTGTCCGTCTCCGGCCGCCTATCACGCCCATATTCCTTGTGCTAGGGATGCGTAACAGCGTCTTTTCCACGTCGTATCCGATCTCTTCGGCAATACCCATTGTCTTGGCGGTAAGAGAGCCGTACATGGAGTTGACCGTGCCAGTATCGGTGCGCTCCTGCTGTTTAACAGCCCGGAGCGCTTTCAAGTCCCCAGCTGCCGGTTGGGGATTCTGTTCCACCTCTTGATCTTCTGATCGGTCAACTGAACCCTTTTTGTTGGGCTTGGGTGGCGGGTAGCGATATCTGGCTCCGGAGAGCGAGTGCGAGCAGCAAGGTATTGAGATGAACGGTAAGGGGGATGCCGGGTTCGAGAGGGCAGCCATTAGCGGCGTCCAGACTGTGAGTTCGTCGGCATGATTCGAGATGATGAATGTGCTCTCTGCAAACATGCCTGTGTGCGTCTTCACACCTATGTCCAACTCCGAGCCTGTGCACAGATCTGCAAAAGGCTTGGGTATGTATATTTCCTCCTTGAGTCTCTCCTGAATTGATGGGGGGAATATACCCCAGGTCTTCCGACGACGAGCATCAAATCCCCAGCCCTGGTAACCTTCCGAGAGAAGCACGTAGACAAGCACCCCGTTTCCACAAGCGACATCCACAAATCCGGGGAATCTTGAATCGTACTTTTCTTGCTCCTTCTGGTCTGAGCTTCTCTCATCGACAGGTACAACTCCGTACATGCTCCTCCACAGCTCAATAAGGAAGGCCGTGATCGAGAGATCTTCGAAAACATGCTTGTTCGGTTCAGTCTCCTCGACCCAATTCTCACATAGGTCCGCCGCGTACTTCAACTTGAGTCGCGCGTAAGTGTCTTGCACTAGGTGCCTTGGTATCACGTTATCTTTGTGCGGGTTGTAGTTCCCTCCTTCTGGCTTCTCGTCCAGGCGCGTCTGACGAGCAAGCCGGATCTGAGTACTCAGAAGTGCGAGCAAGGTGCGCTCTAGACGGTTCTGGATTGGTTCTTCCTCGTATGGTAAGAAGTGCACCGACATTACTCCTGTGCCTTTCTTCTCTTCAGATGAATGTAGAGAAGCATCGGGTGTGAAATCGTACAGGAAGGCCAATGATCGTAGCAGGGGGTGGTACCACGGCATCTCCTCCTTGGACGAGACATGTGGCAGGTAGATGACCAGGAAGCGTTGGCGAGGCGACTCAGTCCTCGATTCACATTGCTCACTTTGAGAAATATCTGTACTAGTAGACGTTGGGAGGAGTTCATCCGCCTCATAAAAATGACAGGTCTGTTCCAGGGGCCGGTCCAAATTCTTGTTTCGAGGAATCAGCCTTCTCACAATGGCCCTCTTTAGTTCAAATCCAGGTACACTCCTCGCGGCAAGCGGCTCAACATGGTCTTCTTTTGGGGTATCTTTGACTGTGCCGCCGCTCCCATGATCTTGACTTTCCTCCTTTGCATGCGGGGTGCTGAGAACGCCCAGGCTATCATAAAGAATATCCGCGCGGAACAAGTGGCTTGAATTCAGATTGGGATTCGCCAACAGGAAAGTCGTCATATTTTGGATGACCTCCGGGGTGAAAGGGAGATCGCCCTCTATTAGATCTGGCGAGGTTACCCATCCCTCCTGCAGGGTTTTCAGGACAGGTGATGGCTCTATCGTTTCAGCCAGAGGTTTTCCCGAGAGCTTAGTGACATCTCTTGGGTTCTTCCTCACGTTCCTCGGCATATTGTAATTGTTGAGCGGCCCACAGGCCTTGTCTCCCACTGTCCTGGTCTGTTTGCTGATATAGTGGCGGTTCAAAGAGCGGCGTGATATGGCTAAATATTTCTCGATCTCGGCCGGTCGAGAACAAGCTTACCCCAACGCCGTCAGGATTCTGATATGTTCAACGAAAAACCCTTGTGACTGCTAATAGATTGCCAATGTAAACAGAGGTTGCAATTGCTCTCAAGTACTGCGTAACACGTCCTGATCAGATTTCATCTCGCTAATATTGATCTGGTCAGTCATGTGACTATTCCTGCGCTTTGCAGCACCAGCCCTACTGCGCGTTTAGTGCGCTTGTATCATGAGCTATAGAGGCTGAAAACTAAATTATCGTCTCCATTTTCTTTTGACTGCATCATATATCCTCGTGAGCAACAGATCAGTTGGAGGGCAAAAATGAAACATAGGTGAAAAAAGAAATCTCCCCGACAGGGAGTCGAACCCTGGTCTCCCGCGCTCGTTCTCGTAAGAGTGACAAGCGGAAATCATGACCGTTAGACCATCGAGGATTTCTTATGTATGAGATCAGCAAATTTTGCCATATGTTGCAATGCCCAAAACCTGACCAATCGGGGAGTCGGCATCTCCTGTTCATTTCTTTCGTTTGTCGGCTATTCCGGTGGAGCACTTCTCCTGCTCTACCTTACTTTCTGCTGGCTATAGTTCCCGTCTTGGCTTTCACGGTCATCGCGCGAGACCTTAACTAATAACACATGATAGAATTATAGGATAAAGCTTAGAAAGCAAGCTTAAATTTGACTGTTTGGAGTCCATCCACGGTTGATAATGAGTAAGTTCATAGGCTCCATTGAAGAGAGATTGTGTTCCAATAGGCTTAGCCGCCGCTTCTACGGAAACGGAGTAACCATTGGCATGGATGAGCAGGTCAAGGCGTATGCATCTATTTGGACGTCAGCGCTAAAGCATGCATCTTCCCCCACTTGCAGCCAAAGGTCCAATGATGTCTAACGGGTAAGCAAAAGGGGGGGCCTAACGATCATTTCAAGACATTCTTTACTGGCCATCACCCGCACAGTTCGAGCACTGCCTACCACTTGCAATGACCACATATTGCTCGAAGCTGTAAGCTGTCCTGTCTCTTGATGTCCATGGAATTTATGCAGACAGCATCATGAAGGTCATCATCGCTGGCGCGACTGGGTTCGTGGGACAAGAGATCCTTTCACAGTGCCTGGCCCATCCCTCTATCACTTCTATTGTTGCCCTGTGCCGTCGTGAACTGCCCATCACAGATCCCAAACTCCATGTCCACCTCATGAAAGACCAGGATTTCCTCTCCTACTCAGACCCCCAGCTCTCCGCCTCTCTCCGAGGCGCAGATGCTTGTATTTGGACGCTAGGCATTACTCCCTCGCGCGCTTCTGATGAACAGGCCTTGCGGCGGGTGACACTGGAGTATACCAGCCAGGCCGCCAAGGCCTTCAACAATGCCTTTACTGCTTCAAATGAGGCAGGGCAAGAAGCCTCCGCCGGCTCAAAATTTCGTTTCGTGTATTTCAGCGGCGGACTGGCTGAGCGTGACCAGTCGAAACCTCTGTGGTTCTATGCGGGCTATCGTCGTATGAGGGTATGAAACCCCTCCCACTTCCTTATATTATGCAGGTAGAGATTGACCACTCAGGGTCACTGAGAATATCCTGCTGGAGCAGGCAGCTGCTCACCCCGCCACGTTTGAGTCATACATCATGCGCCCGGGCTTGGTGCTGAGTCGACAGGGGACATTTGCGGATCGCGTTCGGGGTCTGGCACCCTCAGTGCGGGTGGACGTGTTGGCACGAGCAGCAGTCGATGTCGCCGTTCAGGGACATTCGGAGAAAATCTGGGAGAACGCCCAAATTACTGAGTGGAAGGGTGTTGGTGGTCAACATGGTTAATTCTATTGCGGTCGCATCGATCGCAGCCTGAGACGAGAGAGATACGTATTTCATATGCTTTTGAGCTAGTCACTATACTGAATGCTTTCGCAAAGGAACCTCAAGAACAAAATTCATTGATCATTACTATAAGATGATAACTCGATTTTGAATCTAATCACCTTTCCATTGACAAAGACAAATCACTGGATTGAGGATGATACCCCCTGGTGCCAGAAAGTGGCGTGATACTACTAGGAGACCATATTATCCTCGAGTTTGAAACAGTCTTCAGATTAAATCTTAAGGAGCAAATTTTCCACTAACATACCTCCCATGCTTAGTCCATGTGATGAAGGATGTGATCTACATAGGCAGCTGCCATCCTCACTTCTCGACAAGTCCCATAACTACCATAAATCTCATCCAGCAGTGATCTTCTTTGATGCTACTACAAAATCAGTTCCTTCTCTCCTATGTTCCTTTCTTGTTAGTCGAATTTTTCGGAAATTATAGTTTGCCTTCACTGCTGCACAATGTAGAAAATGCTGGGGTAGATCGGCCTCCAAAAATGCCCGAAAATAGGCGGCCCGGCTAGGAGGATGTGGATCGAATATGGTCTCCATGCATCTCCAGTCATTCGCCTTACCATCCTCCCAGTGATAGGTGCAGGCTCGGCAGAAGGTGCCCGGCTCCAATGTCTGGGTGCGGCGATCCCAGTACGGAAATGTAACTGTCGCCTGCATTATCCACGAGCCTGTCTCTTCGTCCTTGCCGGGTACAGTAGGAATAGATGGGCGCCGAGGGCGTCGAGCGGATTTTCCTTGTTGCTTTTGTCTTTCCCACTTCTGAACCCGCTGTTGGTAGTTTTCTTCGAGTTCCTTCCGACGGGTCTGGTATTGCTGCCTCATGGCCTTGTAACTCCCATGTAGCTGTTTACCCAACGCTTTTGCTTGGGTAAGGTTGACTAAACGGGGTCTAGGTGGTAAGATATTATGAATGATTGGAAGTGATTTGACGTCCTTCTGGGTCAGCCCAAAGTGCAAGCAAACATCAGTCACTGGTGCTAATTGATACTCGGGTCGGAGAAAATTGCATTTATAGCATGCCCGACTGACTGTTGGCAGGTAAAGGTAGGGGCCAAATTCGCCGCATGTCCGGCACCAGGGATGGCAGAGCTCTGTAAATATCCACTGGATTGGGAAATGCGACGAGCATCTGGTAGCATCCATGAGACGCAGCGTGCCTGGGGCATGCTTCCTCAACAGGCAGTACGCAGGCAGTGATTCTACTAAGTGCCTTGATCTGGTGTCGACGCGACGCAGAATCCCCATGCTGGTCAGGTCCAGGTTGAGCAATATCAAGTGAAGAATTTCTAGTGGAAGCCGAGTAATCAGCGATTTGGATCTTCGACGGGTCTTCGAAGTCTTGTTTGGGGGAGCTTTGTATAGTTTCGCGGACTCGATTGGGTCTGGGAAGAAATGAAGCACATCGAGATGCAAGTTCTTGCAGCGGTATGCTGTACCTGAGGCCATCTCTGGTAGAAAAGAGGGCAGATGATTCTCGGACAGACAAACTTAGGCCACCTAGGAGGAGGGTTAAGGTCTCAATGAGCACGCTTAGTAATAAACGCATGTTAGATACGTCAGGTACCTAAGAACTAGGTATGCCCTCATGGTATATTCCAGTAATGACGACATGACTACGCTCTTAGACAGGTCCTCTAGACTTATAATAGGATGGGAAAGCAACAACGAATTCAACTTCAATCAAGCCAGACGTACATGATACAATCGGGATGGCTTACGGCATTAACACAGGCAGTACTCGTACTAATCTTCATGCTCGAAGGGAGAAGATGGGCACAGATGAAGTCAATGGATTGATACAGTATATTAAAAGCTGTAAGGTACGTTAATTATACTTGATCATACTTGATCACTGGTTCCAGACTTCGTCTGATCCATCGTCATATATCTCCTCTTCCTCTTCCTCGACTTCTTCTCCTCCTTCTTCTCCTCCTTCTTCTCCTCCTTCTTCTCCTCCTTCTTCTCCTCCTTCTTCTCCTCCTTCTTCTCCTCCTTCTTCTCCTCCTCCTTCTTCTCCTGCTTCTCCTCCTTCCTCTTCCTCTTCCTCCTCGTTGCCGTCATCGCCGCCGCCGCCGTTGGGGCCGATTCGCCGCCAGGGCCCATCCCGCTGGACATATGTGATTGTAGCACCCGCCGAAACGAGGTGCTTTGGGCAATAACAGCCCACAGGACGCGGCTGCGGGTCACCAATTCTATTACACTTGGTGTTGATGTGTCGTCTCCTCACGCATTGTTGGAATGTACCCCGCTGGTGGCACCCACAGTCGTAGACCTCACGCCAGTAAAAACACCTTCCACTGATCAGAGGATGTGCAGCTATACCGCGATTAATATTACTTACATCTTTGCAAACGCTGCGAGTCTGAGGAGCTGCTTCAATTAGTTAGGCTAAGGTTCGTTGATCATCCATCCTCCAGGTATAATCCTTACATATCTTCTTTAAAGGCTGGAAACGAGGCCAAATGACGGCAGAGAGTGTGATGGCTCAATTACAGAGGGTCATTCTACAACCTACACAGACTACGGTCTCCATGCTATAGAGTGTCTTTCCAATTCGTGACGCTGTCGACTGGCTACCGAAAGAGGAAGGGACGTTCAGGTCAGGTGGGTCATCGCATCTACATGTCTGCTCAGAGCAGATCCCCAAAGTGCTCATTTCCAACTATTTTCCCTGTGTGGAAAGGCGATCTAAATCTACAGGTACGCCATAAATTTAACTGCGGGAAATGGATTTACTAACATAAATCACTTTATTCCAGTCTACCAGGCATATTTTCAGGATCCTCCTCAGTCGATCCTCCGGAGTAGAGACATCAAGTATGTGAGCAACGACTTCATACCACCACACATTACGCCATAGCAGCTACATACTGATACCGAAGGACTAAGGTGCCACTTCGTGGTCTATGTCTACTCCTGCGGATGCATCGACAGCGCCCGCACGTTCAAGCAATGCGAGGCCCGGCGTCCGACCAACACTCGCTGCAATCCCATGGATCCAGCTGTGACAGTGCATATCAAACATCCCTGCCCGGATCACCTCGTACCTGTGTCGAACTAGGGAATTATTAGAGGACTATCCTATAACAGAGGCTTATTCTTTCATGTTTCTTGTACCAGAGTGCAGCACAGGGCTGAGTGTGTTGCACCAGGTCTTCAGTAGCTCTTCACTGGAATAGCTACATACTGATACCGAAGGATTAAGGTGCACTTCGTGGTCTATATCTACTCCTGTGGATGCATCAACAGCGCCCACACATTCAAGCAATATAAGGCCCAGCATATCCAACTAACACTCACTGCAATCCCCTGGATCCATCCGTGATAGTACATATCGAACATCCCTGCCCAGATCACCTCATACCTGTGTTGAACTAGGGAATTATTGGAGGACTATCCTACAATAAAGGCTTGTTCTTTTATATTTCTTGTGTCAGAATGCAGCACAGGGCTGAGCATGTTGCACCAGGTCTTCAGTGGCTCTTCACTGGAATAGCTACCCCTGAATTCATCATTGTGAACTTTCGGATAGTAGTTGCCCAGAACACTACCTTGTTACAGTTATTCTACTAGGCCCAAGGTCTTAGCCGTAATACTCTAAGCATCTTAACATGTGTGTATCTACTTCATGAGCTAAGACCGAAAAAACATATCAAGGCTAATCAGACATATCACTACTGCTGCAACTGTTAACTAGATACAACAGAGTTGATGTCAGGCTCACTTACAGTAAAAAGTTGCGGTACAAGAACAGAGCCACAGAATCCGCTAGAACCGTATAGTCTCCACTTGGGCACTTACATAGGCAGTCTTTATAACTTGGATCATATTTTAATTCAGCTGTATAAGAGATTCAGCGCCTTACTTAGACTTACGTCCCAGTGGTGCCGCTTGAGATACGGCCACAAACAGTGCCAAGAAAATTAGAATTTGTTGGAGCTTCATAGTTGCCCTAATAAGCTTCATAAAGATTTAGTCTCTCTTCTTTCTTCTTTAGAGTCATTTCACACCCATAAGTATTTCCAGAGATCGAATTGCAGATTCCCGATATTTCCAGTGGAAGTTGAATCAAACAGCGGGTTAAGATGAAAATTGGGAAACACAATGTGTGATATTGCACTTTATACCTCTCAAAGTCCGAGGTATTCCACCTTGCCAAGTCACTGCTGATCCAGACGTATGGAAGCTGTCATGCTGCCAAGCTCCTTCTGTCCTGTTCAGTGCAGCAAGCAGTGCAACTGCTGAGCTGAATTGATTCCAAATCACCCCCAAAGCCACCAAGGTATGCAACAGCATCTAGCCAAGTGCACTGAAGCAAATGGGGCTAAACAAACGATAGGCACTACCACCACTGGCGCTGCACCGTGTCTGGCTGAAACGAATCCAGTCATACAAGCCATTCATTGCCAATGAGCCACTTAACAGGTGGCTCATTGACGAAGCCGTAAGTCGCAGTCTTCCAACAATTGGGTGACTTGAGAGCTCTCCACTTTCATGGACGATCGGAGACAGAGCCTACAACGGCTAGATACGAGTACTCGTGCTTTGGCGACGGGTTCCTGCTAGTTAGGTACGAGGGTTGGTGCTACGTATAGACTCAAGCTTATGTAGATATTATATTAATCATCACTAATCATAATATTAATCATCACTAATCATTATATAAAAGTCTAGAATGCTGTTCCTCTGTCTTTTGCCTAATCGCGTTACCCTCTCTACGCAGTTGATAGTGGTAGCGGAACAGCCAAGCCCGATAAGCCCTGTTGTGTTTGATTATCAGCTCGAATGACGCAGTTACCCACCAGACTAAATAATGCCCCCCCTCACCCGCAGCGTAATCTTGAATTTCCCACATTCGGTCGCTACAGGATTAATACGATCAAGCACCTTACGCTGATATCGGAAACTACAAGGCGGAAAAATGACACCCCGTTGCTTCATTGTCCGTCACGGCGAGACAGAATGGTCCCTTAACGGGCGGCACACCGGCATCACCGACTTGCCGCTTACAGCAAACGGCGAGAAACGGATCAAGGCAACGGGCAAAGCACTGGTTGGCAACGACCGACTGATCGCTCCAAAGAAGCTGGTGCATGTGTATGTCTATGTATTTTGCAATTTCCTCTAAGATGAGCCTCGATTGGAGACACCCGGTGTAGATGACAACAAGAAATAGCGACGAGCTATGCCACATTGATGCTGACGCTAACGCTGACCGACCAGCTACGTATCTCCCCGCACCCGCGCGCAACGTACCCTCGAGCTCCTCGAAATCGGCTGCAAAGAGAGACTCCCATGGGCCGAGGCCAGAAAATCAGAAGAGGAGGAACCCATCCGCACGGAAGCCAAGGTGGAAATCACCGACGCAATCCGGGAATGGGACTATGGCGATTATGAAGGATTGACGAGTAAGCAGATTAGAGAGCTGCGGGAGAAGAATGGCCAGGGGCCGTGGGATATCTGGAAGGACGGATGTCCAGGTGGAGAGTATGATCCCCCTCTGTTTCAAGCTTGCAGCTTAAAATCCCCTTCATCGTGGTATGAATTGCGCAGTAGCTGATAAAATGAAACTGAGCAGATCCCCGGAAGACGTCATTCGTCGACTTGATACCTTGATCGCCGAGATTAGGGAAAAATACCACAGTAAATGCTTCGAGGGCTCGTCAGGCGGCAAAGGGGACGTTCTGATCGTTGCACACGGCCATATCCTCCGCGCGTTTGCCATGCGGTGGACCGGAAAGCCACTCTCGGACACGACGTTGATCCTGGAAGCTGGCGGAGTCGGTACATTGAGGTGAGATTTTCCCGGTGCCGGCCTTCGATATGTCTCTTCTAACTATCCCAGTTACGAACACCACAACATCCACGAACCGGCGATCATCCTCGGTACCGCCGGTTTCGTCGTAGAAGAGTAGGGCTGTGACACAGGTCTTCCCACAGGGTGCAAGAGATCTGCGTCGGTCAGCATATCCCAACAAACGATATAGATAGAGAATCCCAGATATAACCACACCATAGCATCCTGCAATGCCATCCAAAGGTCCAGGAAGGATACTTACCCCGACAACATCTGTACGACCCGTAACGGAAATTCCCTCAAGACTCCATCTTCACTTTTGCCTCCTCCCCTTTATCACCTCCACCACTCGAAGCTAAACCGGAACCCGAACTCGACCCCGAATTCCCTTTGACTCCTTCCTCCCCCAAAATCTTAGCAGACCCCATAAACAAAGCCCCGACATACCCGCCCAGGAAGCGCATATCCTCCGCCTGCACAGCCGTCATGCGGAGCAGATTCTGCGTGTCGGCGAGATTGGCATTCAACTGCTCCAATTGAGAATGCAGATGAGCGTACTGCCGCGTCTTGGCGGCTGACATGCCTGAGTTTCCCATCCCCGACCCCATTGACGACGAGGCCGATGCGCTGGTTGACGTTGGGAGAATGGAATGGCGGGGGTAGGACTGAGAAGGGTGGTGTTGGTGGGATGGTGGTGGCATGTTTGCGCAGGCGTTTGGCTTTTTGATGTAGACGTAGAAATTGTAAATAAACGAAGATCTATCCTATCCAGTCGAAGCGATAAGAGAGTCGACCGTGGGGAGTGAGCTACATTTGGCGCGACCTTTTTTGATGTTTGTTTACGGAGATGACTGGTCACGTGGCACCATCGAGATCAAGTGACAAAACACCCGATATCACGTTCAATTGGTACTAGGAGATTCAAGGACAGTGCAGACGGGTCAAGGCTTGAAATACATTTTCTATAAGGCGGTTATCATGAGATTAGTCTAGTAATTCAGTCTCTTTTCGGTTTATGCAAACGTATGGATTATTCGAAACACTCATCGCGACATGGCAGGATAATCTTCTATCAATCATGTGTTCTTCTGCACTATTCGTTGCTCAATAGAGCGGTTCTCTGGCATTAAATGAAGCCGTTACAGTTAGAGGACCGCCCTCCCTCGTGACTACCTCGCGAGGCGCGAACTCAGCCAGATTAAGTCGGTCGACCGGATAAGTCAGAACCCCTGCTCTTTTTGATGCGCCAGAACCAGACCATGAACTTGCGAGTGACAAAGGCTGCTGGACCTTTTGCAAAGTCCCTATAAAATTCAGAACAGATGCAAGGAAATTCAGAAAGGAGGGCATGCAGGTAGGAGGAAAAGGGAAAATAGGATGGTAAGATGATATGGAGGACATGAAAGGTTGCTTGCAAGAACGATGCGCCGGTACAGGTAGTGTACAACAATGACGGTCATGCAGAGAGGGAAAATGGAATGCAAAGCTGAATGATTGCGACTTGTTATTGGCAGTGGTTTAGCTGCGAAAGTAAAAAGAGAAAAAGAAAAGCAGATTTTTCAAGGCCGAGCTTGGGACTCGCTGTCATTAAAAAGAGTGCTGCGGGAAGGGAGATAGTGAGCAAAGTACAAACGCAGAAGCACGCCCGCCACTCCGAAACCCCGAGACGAAAAGCATGATGAAACAAGAACGATGACCCCTATGTCCCTTGTGTATATGTAGAGCAGCGAACAACAGAGTATTATAAGTGATTGACCCCGTTCCTGACGTCGGCGAGCGTCTGTACTAATTCAAGTCTAGGTTGATTTCAAGCATTCGATGTGAGGTATCTCGGAATAGCGTGGACGCTAATCCCATTGGCAGAAACGAAGCAGGAAGGCAAAGACATGAAGAAATCAACAAGGCAAAATCTCAACGGCTCTGAGGAGAATCAGAAGAGAGGCCGAGGCTCGCCAATTAACGAACCGGCATTGCAGCCTGCTGAGCGCCTAGGCTGATTTGGCTGCTATGGGCGGAAGCTTCAGAGTCCAGATTCGCACTGGCTCCGCTATCACCACTCTCCGCGCTGGCGCTCGCACTTCCAGTCAGACTTCTATGCTTGGGAGTGCCCTTAGCGGGATACGGGTTGCTCACCCCATAATGTTGCTCAACTTGCTGCGGACCTACCGCATTATTATGTCCAGGAGGATATTTCGGAACAGGTGCCCGCATGTGGCCAGGCGGCGACGGATGGCCGCCGTGGGGACCAGGGGGACCAAGAGGTTGATCTTGAGCGGTCGGAGGTCGTCCCATTCTCGGGCCGGGTCCACCATAGGGGGTAGCAGGGGACTGGCTGTTTCTCCGACTCTGTGGGTAAGGGTGTGGCGGGAAGTCACCCATCCTGCTAGCCGTCATGGAGTTCGCACGGGACCCAGCTTGCATTTGATTTCGATCAACGGATCCGTACCGGTTAGATGAATAGGCCATCATGGGGTTGTCCATGAGGGAATCATGAAGCCCGGGGATTTCCTGCATAATACGCTCGCTGGTGCGTTTCCGACCCGGGAGGTACCGACTGAACGACGATTGGGGCCTGCCATTCACATTGATTTCTGGATTCTTGCGGAATTGACTCGCGCTGGGGGCTTTCCTTGTCCTGCGCGATGTGATGCTCATCATATCGACGCTGTCTGGGTCAATATGCGGAATAGGGATGTTGTCCATGGGATCGAAATAATCGTCCTCGTCGTCTTCATCGAACGCTGCTGCTCTGGACGGCGCTGCCCTACTACGAGGACCGCGTCGCATCTGCATCTCTTGCTCGCGAAGCTGCAACTCTCGCTGCCGGAGTGCCAATTCTCGTTCTCTCAGGGCCAGATCTGCAGCTGCAGGTGGAGGTCCGGGCGGCATGTCGGGCATGCCGTTACTGCCATTCTGGCGGGGCACGCCTCCTTCCGCAACCTCGTCATATACGACCAGATGGCTGAACTCCTCAAGTCCCTCAAGAGATGGTTCGCGAGGTATCCTGGCCGAAGGTGGGAGGGGTTGTCCGCTTGGTGGCCTTGACATTCCCGGCATAGGCATAGGATAGCCACGGCGCCCAGGAGGCATCATCATGCCCGAGCCGGACCTGCCATTAGGAGGAGGACGCATAGGACCGTTTCTTGGGGGAGGTGCCGAAGACATTCTGGGTGGTGGCTGAGCTAGTATGGGGGGAGGCGTATCATTGGTGGAGGGCTTGTTAAGATTGTTTGTGTTGATGTGATGTAGTGCAGCGTAAAGTGTCTCGACTCGCGGAATCCGGATACCTGACTCTGTCGCCAATTTGATGGGGGACCCAAGATATGTCTCTATCTCCATTGGACGTCGTGATTGGAAATCTTGATACATTGTGCTAGGTGAGTCGATGGCAACCATCTTGTCGATCGTCTTCTGGGTGAAGTCACTTGGAAACGAGCAGCCCTGTGATCTCGCGAGTTCGATGAGCTCCTCGATGATACCAGTCACGAGTTGGCGAACCCCGACTTTCTCGAGGAGTTGGGCATGATTCGAGGTCTCAAACATAACACTTGTTGGCTGAAAGGCGATAGGTCTGCGGGAGAATAAAGAGTTAGCAGGGACAATGGAAGTAGACTAGAGGGAACCGAAGCCGCCGATATGCTCACCCTATCATACGCTCAAACTGTTCCTGTCTAATGTTTTCCGACACCTTGCAGTTGACTTGTCCTGAGCTCAGAGTCATTGCCAGAGCAGCAGCCATGTCATTCTGAATCGATGCCGGGATACTGGAATTCTTGCTCGTTGCACCGACCCAGATGTCCGACGAATTCAAATGCTCGAATTCACTAGCCCCAGTCTGCGAAATCTCCACGCCAGAAACAAGGGAGAGGACCACGTTTGTGGGGAACCGCTGTTCCAATTGAGATTCTACGCCAAGGGTATTCGTTGTGTTCACGAGGATGCATGTATGCTGAGGAGTGACGACGGACTCGATAATAGATGCAAGGTCGTAGACGTCGGGCAGCGCCTTGACGCACAGAATGACATAGTCGTACGCATTCTCTCGAGATGCTGCTTCTTCAGGAACTCGAACAACTACAGAGCGAAACACCTATATGTTAGCAAGCTTACTACAAATGATACACAAGCCATAACGAGAGAACTTACCATGACGGGGCTTGAAGCGTTCATTGCCGAATGTTTTCGACCTGTGTGTTTCACCGATTAGAAAATGGCTTTGAGCGGAAAGATGGCGAGTCAAGAGGAAGCGTACTTAAAAGATACTCCATACTGAGATACTGATTCGAATCCAGATTTCCAGACAAGGGTCACATCACAGGACGTTGTAGCCTGAAGTCGCCAGGAGAGGAACGCCGAAATAGCATTACTACCGACTAAACAAGCTTGAGTTAGCTTGGGGCTCATTTCGGGTTGCGGCGGATGTTGCGGAAGTCCTTTCACGATCCCGGACATGAGTCTCATTTGGATCTTGCGATAGTGAATTGTTGTAGAAAAGAGATTAAGCTCATTTTGAGCAGCAGATAAGAGCTGGAACACAAACCTGATAAAATGCGCAAGCGCGGCGGAGGAGCCATAGCTTTTTCGAACCAAAGAGGAAGGAAGCGTCTCGGCGGGCCAGAAGTCGAAAATTAAAGGGAATAAGAATCAAGATATGATGGACCGTTGGGCTGGAAATGTAAGATTTCTGGATCGAGCGTCCCAAAGGCGCGATTGACGCTGCCTACCACGGGACAAATGAAAGCAAATTCGCAACCAAAGCCAGGGTGCGGAATCAGTCGGTTTCGCAGATAGGATAGCGAGAGGAGCTCCGAAATCGAAGGAGAAAATGAATGTAAGGGATTCCAACAAATGGAGTTCTTTTGGTATCTGGAGGAAGGAGAACAGGAGAAAAGAACCAGAAAACAAACGAGAGGAAAGGAAGGATAAGAGCGGGAGCTAGGTAGGCAGGTAAGTAGGTAAGTAGKTAAGTTTAGGTAGGTTGACGCGGATTAGATGGAGAAGAAAAGAAAGAGGGGATGCGAGAGAGACTGGGATGGATTGGAAATGGAGCAGAGCAGTGCTGTTGCTACCTACTACTGCCACTGCCAAAAGGTGCTTGTTTGTCCACTGCACTCTTCCTCTTCGACTGTAGGCGGAAGAGAAAACAAGTGAAAAGAAGTTTGAGTAGTCACGTCTTTTTTCTTTTTTTGGTTTCTTTTTTTACCTTCTTTACGCCCCAACTGGCTGTAAACGATTAGACGATGGGTTGCTTCAACGGCCGTGGATCCCCCGCCAGGGCTCGAATCCGGAAACGGGAAGAAAGAGGCAGGGGGAGACGGCCGATAAGAAGAATTCTCGCTGTCAGCGACTAAAAGAAGGAGAAAATTGGAGAGACAGATACCGAAAGCGAAAGAGAACTGATTGTTTCGGCAGAACAAAAGCGCTGTCTACCTATTCTCCGTCATTACTCCGTACACATTCAGCAATTAGGTTGGATATTGATAGCTCTGATTGATGCTGTTTTTCCTTTTTTGTATTTTTTACGGAGTTCCTTCCATTTTCCTTTCTTTTACAGTACTACGAGATTTTTACAGTACTACCCGATATACTACAAATAGAACAAGCATAATAGTGGGAGAGAGTAATTTCCCCTCTCTCTGGTATTTCCTTTCGCTTTCTCTTCAGATCTGTCTTGACTATCTGTTGTGATAGGATGCTAGCA